CAGCAGCCAACGCGGCATCACAGTCGGCCGAAACTACCCATCCTGCACACAGCCAGCGCACCATGGTGAGTTCAATTACCTCGACAAGGACAGAAGCCAAGCCGTCAAAGGGATGTTCCTCGGCCCGTTACACCTAGCAAGGGGACAAACGCCTGTTGGAAACTGCATGGAAATAATGGGAGGTACAGAGAAATGTATTTAAGGAAGAGAAAAATAAACTTTAGAGAAACACTTTAAAAGAGGAGAATAACTTGGAATTGAGACACATTACTCCCTTCCATTGAGCCTTCGCAACTGCCTGAAATGCAACGTTTCAGAATAATTCACGAAAACATAGTGGGTTGAAGCGTAATTTGTGTTGTGTGTTGCAGGACTAGGAGTAATTCCTAATCCACCGGTAGCACGCTTACATGTTTCTTGGTTTATTATAAAATAGTACAAAACCGTCATCTTTCTTTAGCATATTAGTAGTATAACTTAGAGGATGAACTTTGCAAACAAAACAAAAAGACAGTAAATATTCAATGTTTAAACTCGTGATTTGTTTGTTACTAAAGCATGAATCAACTGAAATCGTTTTCTACTCAGAAAAATATGTACTTCAGCAAACACATCTGAGGAGCACAAGATAATTAACCAAAGATGCACTAAAATGCAGTATGTTTAGTTGAATGTGGCGAAATGCGAAATGTTTTTCCAGTCGAATTCCCGTTGTCTCCCCTCCTTTGAATCACCGACAACCGATTTCTTCATATTATACAAGAATACTAAACACAGGACATGAGAAATGAAAACGCTCAGCAAACAAATACTGAATATATGTTTTTACAACACAAGTAGAAGTGAAAATATGTCAGTATAATGAAAAATGACTAATAAAAACAACATTCATTTTAAAAAATAACATAAGAACAAAATATTTTATTGTTCGCTTATTAAAATACAAATATAATCTCTAAATGACATGGCAAGTGAGTCTTCGCATGACCATTTTGCGGTGACTTCTTTTCAACTTTGAAGAATATATTGCACGTATATCAAATCTCCTCTAGTGAAATTAGTTGGCACATTAATATTTTGCAGTGTATTTTACAAATACTCATAAATATTTATATACAAAATCTTTCAACGTTGATATAATTTTATTGTATAGCTATATCTACAATTAACATTAAATTAATTGTTCGTGGTAACAATCATTATTTTCTGAGAAAAACATGTAGTAGTCAACAAAGTACAAAGCATAATTTGCACCTAACCAAGACTGAGCAGCAGGTATTTCACAGCGGTCATGCGAGATTTGCGAAATGTGTCAAATGCAGAAATTGTGATCATAAACTATAATAGCACAATAGACTTTCATATACAATACACATTCTCACATCAGTTATTCAATGTTAAACGCAATGTTTGTTCTTTTCATAAACATGCCATAATAAACTCCATCCATTCACATTTGTTCAAATATATATATACACTATCGTGATTTGCACCTTTCGATAAGTCACGAAAAGTGAAAAGCGAAATTACTTTTATATGAGAATATGAACACTACTTTCGGAAAATGGTTCCGATGACATAAAGTACTGCACGTTAGAAGTGTAGTACATCAGTATCAGGAAGGAAATTAATAAAAAACATTTATAGGAATTTCGATATCTAAAAGATAAATTCCTAATAAATAATTCGAGTGACAGATTCTGTTTGAACTTTGCGTGCACTAATTGTACCGAGTAATATATTCTATTAAAAATTTATAAGTACAAGAAGGTATTCCATTCCATTGTAGAAAATAATTCTTAAGGTACTTAAGTGCAATTAACTATGTTTCAATAACACTAAAATTATTTTGTACAACACAAATATTCCTAACCTAATAGTTTGACTGATATGGACCATTATCCTCGGGGCCTATAATTATTTTTCTCTTGATTGTTATTCAGACATTCTTATCGATATGAAGTTCAAAAAATATACATAACGCAAATGTCACTGAAAGTAGGAATTAAATTGAAACTAGCAATTCCTAGATAAATCATTGAACATGTGACAAGCCTGAATTGCTTACATTTTAATCTCACTTTCTCTGAGACACACATTCATTACACATTTCTCTCTCTATCAAATAATTTGATATGAACATACTCTTGTTGTAATTTTAAGGTGAAAGTTGAATATTCATGGACTCTTGTTTCCAAAATTCTTACCGGACAATGTTGTGCCATTAACTGGTTTCGTTTATTTTCATTTACGTTGGTGTATTGCGTAATTTAGTAAATTGTTTTGTTAGGAATGGTTTAATTGTGAATGAAAAAATCGATGAGGTAAGCAAGGAAAAGTCAAGGACACAGACGATATATCTCAAAGAATGCATGACCCTCGTTCCAACCGAAGATAATGTGAACCTACTTTGTTGAGAGAAAATTAAGGAAATTCCCAACTAATCATACTTTTAAGCGCATACGTAAATATATTTAACAAAATGTGATTTTTTCAACTCGCAAAAACCATCGCACCTGGCTCTGAGATACGTTACCAATACAGAATAGTATTGTCCTGAGAACTCTCAATTTTCCTTCTTGCAATGTTGAAATACCTGGCCATGTAAAAGAGCGGCGTCCGATGAATGTGTCGTGATGCTGGCTTTTTGTTGTATACTATTTTTGCAACTTGACGTCACTCTGACATTAAACGGCTTCGTCATCGATACATCATCAAATAATCTGTGTGACGTATGAGACATGACTATGATCAGCAATAGTCTTGCTGGCGTTTCTAAGTGTATATGAATTGCTTCTTACTTTAATCTAAATGATTACTTATGTAATCTGAAACTGGCTGCTGGGTTGAAAATAAAGTACAAAAACATCCGAAACAGGCGAAACAAAATTAAATTTAGGCAGAGGTGATTTCAACGCAATATAAAAATGAAGCATGTAACTGCTCTTTACCGTATTATACATAAAAAATATAAAAGTTCCTGTCACAATTTATTCACATTCAGATGATAGTTTTGCCACAGAAGTTTTCTTGACAGACATCTTAGAATCGTACTAATTAAATTTTTAATTCATTTTATGAATTATCTTTTTCCGCATCTTCAGGCTACATAGAATTTAACAGCAATATTTTGAAGATTTTTGATCAAATTTTGAACATTTAACAAAATGATATGTTACTTATGTGAAAAATACGATACAAATATGTAAAAATTGTAGCACTGGTTATAAAATGTGTGTGGACTGACCATTTAAAAGAACATAAGATAACAAATGCATTAAAATAAAAGCGTACGCCGGCCATTGAAAAGCACTTTTATCATGGTGGTCGCACATTTGTTTTAATACATAATTAGCTGTTTTTTTAATGGTGATTTTTTACATATTGCCTTCGAGTGCGACTATTTTTTAAATATTTGTATAATGTTTTTTATTTGTATTTTAACGCCAGAAACATTTAATTTAGTTTAATGTTCGCTCAAATTTTGCAGTTAAATCCTTGTTTGAATGTAATATTTTATTTCTAAATGAGTCTATGAATCGAGTCAGTCAAGAATACATCTGTGGCCAAACAATATTCCGAAGTCGTTAACACTGCACATTTTCTCAATTTAATATTATATACGTTGATGGAGACACATATATACTATTCCACATACACGTATACACCACCTGTGAGTGTATATCATCGTCGATTCATGTCAGTCAACTTTCTGTTTATATTTTACTTATGTATCGTGATGAAAAACAGAACACTTTAAAATATCCTTGGGAGTATCTGGTTCACAGCCGCGAGACACACACATATCATTAAACCCATCAGGTTACAGAACCAGACTCCGGCAGCGTTATTTGACACCATTTAGAGAATTTTCGATTGCAATGTTGTGAACAGCTACAAGTTCCTTCTATCTCCAAGTGTCCCACACGAATTTCGTTGGTTTAGGTACTTGCGACATGACTTCGTTCTCAAGTAGACCTGTCGCTGCAGACGCTGCAGACTCCAGCACATGGAATGATTATTTATGGAGGAATAGAGCCCTCTCGTGCTCTCAGACAACAGGCACAGATTGGGGCATTTGACGATGCCCACTAGATTCCACCAGAAATCATGTTCCAGGGAACGGAAACGTCGTGCTTCCCTACTCTTCCTGCAGCCTCAGTCCAGAGCTCCGAGTCACCGGACCTTCGGCCACTTCTCCCGTTCTGCAAGCGTCAGAACACGGATCTCGGAAATTTCTGCCTCCCTTGGTGTGTCGTGAGCCCACTGAGCAAAGCTGCGAAAGCGCCAGAAACGCTTATTCCATTTTGCACAGTTTCACTGCCTCGAAAAACCTGTAGCGAGAAACATCGAGACCAGTGGCAGTTAGGGAACGCACCAAGCCTTATGTTGCTGGGGTTGCGGCAGGTGTCGGACGACTGACACAACGCAGGCTCCACATTCGCCGCCTTCACGCCCGCCGTCGTTGTCGCACACCTGTGCCTTGACATGCGTTGAGGGCGTGGCGCGTGGTGTAGCACGGCGGACGGCGGAGGCGATCCAGCCACTGGCTTCTGGTGGACTTCTCTCTTGCTGGGCTACGAGTCACAGAGCAGCGTTACGGGGCCCGGGAATATCTGCCTCACCTGTTTTAACAGCGATCCGCAGCGCTGAGCGGGTAAATGGGTCGGATGCCTATCCTGCTCTGCTTCCGAGCCAGCGAGTTCCGGCATCCGCCAGCGATCTGTCTGCGCCAGCGAAAAACAGTGACGCCGCCAGTTGTGCTTTAGACGCAAGGCAGCGGCTGACGTCTCGAGTCCCGGTTTGCACCTGAAGGCCCCGCCTACGCGAAGGCGTGACGGCCGACAGGCTGGCCCAGCCCTCGCGCGGTGTCACTCACGTACCCCGGATTGGAGAAGGCATTGGGCATCCGCCCCACAAAACGCAGGACGCCACCGTCGCCTCTAAAGCCACGGCGGCCAACCTGGGCTACGACGTTGTAGTTGTCAGCGCTGGGTCTGATGACAGCGGGAAGTGTAGCCTGGGTTGGCGGGACGGAGGCCGCCTTCGAACGCCAAGCAGCGACCGTCTCCATTAGACCCGGTGTTCCTGAAGACCATGCCTACACCAAGGCGTGGCGGCCGGCGGGGTCTGTTCACCATGTGGGCTGCTGCCGCCGCCGCGGTGGCAAGCCTGTACTACGGCATGTACTTGTCAGCGCTGAACGTGATGACGGTGCAGCCAGGGCTGCCACCCAGAGCGAGTGCAGTCAGGAGGCCGCCTTTAGACGGCAGGCAGCGGCAGTCTCCAAGAGACCAGATGCGTCCCTGGAGGCCCGCCTACGCGAAGCGTTGGTGGCCGGCGGCTGCCCCAACCCGAGCGCTGCGCCGCTCACGTAGCCCGGGTTGGAGAAGGCGTCGGCGGTCCCGCAGAACGCGGGGCTACCGTTCGCCGTGCCGGCCGCGCCGCCGCCTCCGCCGCCGCCGCGGCCAGCCTGTGCTGCGCATGTTGACGTAGTTGTCGGCGCTGGCGTGATGACGGCGGGCGCGAGGTGTACCCGGGGTTGTCAGGGCGGTGGGCGGCGCGTCTGCTCCGCCCGGGACCAAGTTGGCCGCTGCGGAGGCGGGTGGCGGCCGGCGGCGGCGGCGGGCGCGCGCGGGCCGGCGAAGGTGAAGACCTGCGCGCCGCTGCCGGGCCGCGGGCTGAACACCTCCGCGGAGCGCGGCGTCGCCGGCGTCGAGCCCGAGCCGGGCAGCGGCGCGCCGCCGCGCATCAGCAGGTAGCCCGAGTTGGCGCTCGGCGACGGCGGCAGCACGCCCGGCAGGCTGCGGAGCACACACACGTACGCGGGTCACGCGCCATGCACGCTGCCGCACCCCAGTGCGGGTTAGACACACACACACATTCACAACATCCATGCCCAAAGAAAGGTACAATCAGAAGAGAGTTCTTTGCGATTGACAGTAAAGGCTGACCTTTGTGAATTGAGCTGGCTTTTGTTGCCAATGGAATACACATAAACAACTGCAAGTGATCCACAAGAGGTAAGACTGAGTTTCAGGCTAAAGCAAGTCACCGCTCTCACTGTCTCTGACTTGAAACATACGCACTAAATAGACAAAAATGATTAATATTTATGATTAAGGTCTCTTATCAGACCAGAAACTCAAACAACTAAGGTGAAAGCTTCTGCGTTCGGACATTTCGCAACATTTCCTTCTCAACTATTGTCAATATGAAAGGAAAATCTTCGTTTCTGAAGTTAGCCGATTGCACGCTGGAAAGTTAAAGTCAACTGAGTTCAAAGGGTACGACTCCTGGAAGCATGTAAACTGAGGCAAGTTGTTCAACGAGTCAGTGCGCTGACGACAGAATTACAATTAATTTAAAGAAGCATTTCCTAAATACAATACTCTTATTACATTTTACATAAGGAGAATTTCTCTTAGCATTGATTACTTAATTTGATCGCATAAAATATTTAGCAAATGTTTAATAATTTGACTCTAAGTCCTCAATTTGACTATTATTATGAAGGGAACAGAATAAGATGTAGGAAAGAAGTTTGAACACACCCATACAAATATCCATCAACTACACCCATACCCAAACACACACTTACGAGAAAGTACACATGGACATGCAGTACAGCTACGGAATAGTAAATTTATCTTTAACCCGACACACGTCCCGGACACTGATACAAACATGCATCACGCTGGAATATACTTCAACGGACTCTATCTTCGCTATTTCTATACAGATAAGTCCCACAATATTGTGTCACGTGCGCACCAGTTCTTATTGGAAGGTTCCGTGAAAACATCGAAGTCTTAAATCAATATTTTTGAGAATCCTACACTCTTCAGTAGTCCCGCAGACTAGTCATGAGCTCCTGAATGAGACAGATGTTGGCGTAGTATGCGCAAGGGTCCAGGCTCGATTCCAGGTGGAGGAAACAGGAATACAGAGATCTACAAAGCTTCCAAAAAAATATGCAGTGTCTGTGGCTGAGAAAGTAGGGAGTATGCGCGGAGTTGTGAAATAGCTGTGGCTTTGAGAAGGCTGGTACAGGATTTGCATCTTTTCTATCGCTGTGAGGAAGGTGAGGACTAGGGAGCGGATTTTATTAGAATGACAATTTTTCACTTTAACCTTTTAGTATATACAATAACTTAATGTTATGATAAAAGGAAATGATATATTTTATGCCTTTTTTACACAGCCTATATAGCAATTTCGTCGATTTAGATTAATAAGTCTTTCCCCCCGTCATTTTAAAGCATTTTTAGCTGATTTCGTAGATTTTAGTTTCATGTTAACGGTATTTGCTCCTAATAACAATAATTATGAGAATCAACAAATGCTCGACATAAAATTGCTGAATAGCCTATTCGATTTCTTCAAACAGAAATTGTAATGTCAGCTATTGAATGTAATAAGAGGTTTCTGTGACGCCAATCAGCGCCATCGTCGTTTCGGCCAATTTCGGGATACCTAAAGACAGATTTCGTGATAAAGGGCAGTCCAAACCAAACACAGCCTCGATTATGTCAGTAACATGATCGAAAAGCTTAAGTTGTTTATCTGAACTGGTTTTGATACATTTTTTACGTACTTTTTGTTTGCTTTTTAGGGGATTTTAAAAACATTTTAAGATAGATTGATAATTTTTGCTACTGTTTTAGGTCATTACAATCCGCCCCCAGCAATGGCATAATAACTCAATTCCTTTAAACTGACTAATATGGCTGGTTCTCTGGGAGATTACCAACGTTCGGTATGAGGAGATTCAAACAAGTTCTATTGACCTAACTTCATATCTTTCGGCTCAGTTCACAAAACGTATGTGATAGCACTTTGTCATCTCTTCCAATATTGTGTATCGTGAAAAATCTACGGATATCTCTCCAAGCGCTGTGAGAGATTAATACAACTTCTACATTACATTGTGTGTTCACACACAGTTCCGTAACTAATTTCACTCGCATTTGTAATTCAAAACTACACTGTCAGGGCAAATTCGCCTTTCGTAATCTCGAGCTTACGATATCTATTATTCCTCTCAGATTTTGTAATGTCTTTTATTGCTGGGTTGATGAGTTTATATTTGAATAATGAAAAACGAAATGTTTGTTTCAAAATAACATTGCCATTAGGACACCAATGTTAGTCGTTTACATTTGTTATACACACACAAATCACATTGATCACATTTGGGAAGCATAGGCTGCACCATGTGTGAAGAAAGGAGGATGGGTAAACCCGTATACTGGAGCCAATGCGCAGATAACCACCAAAGGAGAATTAGCGAGGTGCATTGTCTCTTCCCGACCCTGGTTCCATCCCGCAAACTACAGCAGATTCTTTGTGATCGCAGTACTGTTTAGTTGCTTAGCCAGCGTCACCGCTAATCCCATGAATAAGCAGAACGCCAAATAGCGTAAGTCCAATACCGTCAGCGCCAACGCCTGAGTCGTATCCGTCGTATCGTCAACGTCAGCACCATCCGAACGCCAGCACCAATCTCGCCGCCGTCAACGCCAACATAAACGTCAATGAAAACGTCGCCAATGCCAACGCCAGCACCAACATCAAAACGAACCCCGGCACTACTCCCAACACCCACCACCGCTCCAGAAACGTATGTCGCATAGGCCTTCGCCTGCGCCGTGAACATTTCACCGTACAAAGACCCACACAATATGTTAAGACATCGATGTTAGTTCATCCGGTGGCCCATTGCCATGAAGAAGCCCACCCACGACCGCCTCCACCCGGGGCGGGCGAGCCGCCTACACGTGGACCTACTTGTCGCTTCCGCCCACGCCAGGGCCCGCGCCAGCGCCTTCGTCTGTGTTTGCGCCTGCGCCTGTGCACCTGTTGATGTAGTCGGGGTCGTCGTCCTCGCGCGGCGCTACCAGGTTGCTGTAGTCGGGCGCGCCCAGCATCCCCAGGTAGTCGGTGGCGCCGTCGCGCTGCCACTGTTCGTTCATGTCGATGTACGCGTTGTTCAGGTCCAGGTAGTGCTGAAACACAAAACGTAGGCGCAAAATAATACGTATCTTACAATAAATAATTCATGTTTTAAACACGATCTACAATGTAGATAGAAAATAAATTGTGTGCACATTGTTGTTTACCTGCACTGTGTGACCTTATTAGTTGCCCTTTTCACCATGAATCAACCTTCTCTTTGATACTGGCCCATTCGGATTCTGTTGTTTCATTAGTGATTCCGGGCGCGTCAACAACCACCTTCTTTAGTCCCGTAAGTATATTGCATGTATTATTGCTGGGAGTTGTTATGATCTTACCCCGCTGATGCTGGGAAGCGGCGCCGACTTCACGTCGGCTTGAGGGGTTATCCCCAACCAGGTATATCCCACCAGTGTAACACCATTCCAACCAGAACAAGCTCTAAGCTTCTGTTGGGTCTCCCGACATGTGTAGTAGTGTAATGCATGTAAGTGTGGGTAAGTGCAAGGAAAAGGAAGTAAATATCGTGCGCGGTCCGTGTCCCATTTGTTAGAATACTGCTCCGGCATTCGCCTGGTGTTGATCAGAGAAACCCCAGAAAACTTCCGGAACGTTCCTCCAGAGCGCAGCAGAATTCGACCTCGCTACGTAGCTAGTGTCGAAAATCGTCACACCGTCAGGACTCGAACCCTAGACCTAACAAAAATCCGAACACGAATAAATAAAAATCCGTAATGTATGACAAAATCGTATCGTTACAAACAAAATGTCACCACAAATGTAACTTTTATATTGAAGTATTTATTTGATTATTTAGTAAAGTATTCGGATCGAGGAAGTCACGCATAAATGCTGGTAAAAAGTAACCCATTCCGTTTACTTTTAAGAAACAATCAATTTTTACGGTTGTAATATATTGTCAGTATTCTAAAAGAGCAGCCATTAGTTTATATTTTACAAGATAACCCGTTTAATTAGTTTATATTTCTCTTTTCTCCAACTGAGTCTGAAAGAGATCCAGAGACACTGCACTGCCGCGAACGCCTAGCATTTCAGGGTTATGCAAACCGTCGTACACATGTGTTCGACGGACCTTACTCAGCGAATTATGCGGCAGGCCGAAGGACCAACCCAAAATTTGTTTCAAAAACAAAGTGGCAACATACACTATTTTACACAAAAACTTATTTGTGAACCAAATGTATTGTTGTACAAAACTAAGTATTAGAACTTTCGTTTACATTTATAACATGGACATAGGCCCTTCAAATAAATATATACTGCAAAAACGAACGTTTTGGAATGGAAAAGAAAGGCCAAAGAAGTTGGCCTGAACGGCACAAGAACAATTACCCGAGTAGTTACATGAATGTTGAACGAAACAGTTCAAATGTAAGTGTGTTGTTTTTCATGAAACAAACATTCAGATTTATATATTAAGAAAGTAACATGAATAGTTACTGTAAATTCTTTCAACGTCGACATGATCAATAGATTCGGTCAGCCCTTCTAGATACTCTATAAGAGTACATATTTTCGGATCATGTGGATCGTCCGAAATGTTACTTACTAGGAACACAAAAATATATTTGTTATATAAAACGTCATGAATAAGATAATAGATTTCACAATTTCACAACTTGAAAAACGGATAATATTTGAGTGAATAATTTTCTGTTTTTCACCGGATTGTAAGGAGTGTTGCAAATAATAACAAATTTAAGTTCACCAGGTGGGCCACTCATTTTCTGGAACCTATTTTTCTGACTTTTCCGTTTTTTTTCTTTTTTTTAATTTTTGACTGATGAGATTTGTAGATTGTATTGTAGTATTGTACTAAATGTAACTGTAGATATTCTGAAACTATTTTTTTAAATATTAAAGAAAGCCTGACACCAATTTGCCAGCTCTTTGATTTGGATAAAGAGCAAAATTAAAAAAAACTCAACAAATAAAACTTGAATCACTATTGTTTTAAGGAATATAATCTAGTTATATGCCCTTCAGGGTAGCTCAGTCGTCAGGGAGCTCGCTTTTCAAGACGCGATCCCGAGCTCGACTCCCGATCGGGGCAGATTATATTGTGGGCTTTCCTTACAATGTCCCAGTAAATGCTCCCTGCAATGCTGTGTGACGCTAAGAAAGTTCACACGAAGGAGCGAAAAAATACTTCGTACGCCTTCCGTCGAAGGGGAAGTAAAGCCGGCTGACCCATTTTAGTAGATTTACTTGCATGTAAAAGATCCTCAAGCCTAAATGACGTAGCCTCTGAGCTAAATTCAAATCGCCTGTTTCTCGCCCAAGAAATACCTCCTTTCTTTCCTAGTTGGTGAAAGGAGCGTAGCGAAATTTGCGAGGGCAGCAGGCATCATGGCCTGAGTCTCGCCACGAAACATAAGACATTAATTCAATTCAGTTCCACGACCCTCTCAAAAATTTGCCTCGCTTCCACCGATACTTTTACAAATTCCGTTTTTTCCCCTAACTTTTCCAAGGTCTTGTTTATCCGCGGTTTTCCGTGTTTCCCAGAAATTCGCCACCCTGCATAGGCACGTCGTGACTCGGCTTCGGCCCGCTCGGTGCGGCGCGGGCGCACTCACGTTGCGCACGCTCTCCTCCAGGAAGGCGCCCAGGCCGTCCGCCAGCTCGTCGAAGGGCGGCCGCCGCACCGGGTTCGCCTCCCAGCAGCGCAGCATCACCCGGTACCTGCACAAACACAACGCAAATTCATTCCGCATTCAAGAATTACAAAAACAGAGTTCTCACACGATGGTCAATAGAATAATGGACCGTTATGCTAGAACTTAGCACATTAAATTTTTTTAATCGTATTTTGTAAACAAGGCTAAACTCTTTTATAGGGTTGTATAAATTAAGATTTACCTTTTTGTGTCATTTGTTGAGAAAATTATTATTAAGGAAGATCTGAGATAAAACAATATGTTGATGATTTTTATATTTCCCCACTAAATTAATGAAATAAGGGAGACTAATTTAATATTTCGCCGTTTGTGAACTTCATAAAATGTAAAAGTGTAAGACGTGCGCCCTTGGCGTAGGGCTTTACGCTTCTTCCCGTGATTACCGTACAGCGAACTATGGGAGTTGAGATCCCTCGACTGGACCCTGAACGCTCAGGCTTTGAGGATCATTTGTTTTAAGACTGCTCTTATAGTTTCTTTGTCAGTTAAATCTTCATTACAAACTTATAAACATGACCACTCTCAAATTAAATGTTTTCAAACATCGATTTGTTGTTTTTGTTTGATTTTGCATCCTTAGAGACCAAACTGCAAGGACACTGCGACAGTCCTGAAGAAGAGTCTGTATCTGTTCTGTCGTGTCTATTCATATACTATTGTTTGTGGTATCGATGTTGGTTATATGTATCATTCAATTATATCAGAATAGATTAGTGGGGTGTAACGAAGCATATTTCATCAAAACCACATACGAAACATTTGTTCACCTCATTGTCACAACACGCTGATATTTATACACATAAAATATGCTGATTTTTTACAAGACCATCTATCTGAAAAAAGCAGTGTGTATCTCTGAATACACTCCTTGTAAATTAATACGTGCTCTGACCAAACAAACGTTCCTAATAGAAGCCATAAGGTTACATTTGTCTACCAGACACCGAGGCATACATTGCCCGCGATGTCCGAGAGAATACATAAGTGGGTCCTAATACACGAAGAATTCTCCTCCTCAGATCCCATGGTACTCAATCAAAATGTGCGTCATGTCTTCACAAGTCTGCCGGTCCATGATCCACTACTAATTGTGCAAGATGGAATACTTCCATGAAACCTGCTGTGAAAACGTGTGCAAACTCCATGTCCAAGATACCATATAATATCTTGCCAAAAATTAAACAACACATTTACAGAACTTAGTGATAACAAGCGTGTGAAACGAGGCCAAAGAAGTGCTACGTAACCTACACTCAACTAACTAATACGCTATTGCGTGCCCTTTTGTCACTATTATTATTATTATTATTATAAAATATACGACCGCATGAACTGCCACTTAAATCTACCGTTATTTGTTTCCTGCAGTGATGTGCTCACTGTTTCAATGTTTAATAATTCTGAAACTTGACCACGTTCAACGATGTCCACAATGAACCACGTTTTAATGTTTGAAGAGGCAGTTGACATCGGCAGAACACCCCGCGTGCCATTTCGGACGTTTTCACCCCTTCCCGGTGAGAATGAAGGCAGATGATGGTTACCAGCCGTATTTTGTTTTAAGTCGAGATTGATTACTCACAGGTCCTGCGTGGCGTAGGGCGGGCGCTCCATGCGGTAGCCGTCCTGCAGCTTGTTGTAGAGGCGCTCGTCCGCCTCCATGCCCGGGTAGGGCGTCTGCGCCAGCGAAAACAGCTCCCACAGCACGATGCCGAACGACCACACGTCCGACTGCGTGGAGAAGACGCCGTCGCGGATCGACTCCAGCGCCATCCACTTCACCGGCAGTGGCCCCTGCGCACGCGCGCACACACCCACGTTACACACACACACACACCATGTCCATTGATTGCTTTCAGTTTGAACGAGTGGTGCCACATCGATAACACTGATTTTAGCAAACGTGTTTTTCAACATCGTATCGATGTTAAAAATACATCAACTAACATCCATCGATGTTTGTAGATCGGTTTAGACTCGTAATATACAACATTACATTCGTATGCATGGAAATTTAATTTGAAAATGTTCGAGTTTATGAATTCGCTAAATAAAGGTATGAGAAGAAAGGGTAGACTCTATGCCCTCTGAGTATTTGTTGACCATATATCAATATGAAGAAAGTGGAATTACAAGGGCATGGAGATCATCACGGGCGAGAGAGTTTGGTGGAGGAAGGTAGTACAAACAGCACTCCTTTGGGTCCAACACATGAACTAAGTGTTACCATCAGTTATTATTTCATATGTTAAGTTTTACAATACTGTGATCATGGGAATTTTTCATTCAGGGACAAAGCATTAGAAAATGAAACAATCGATCACAAAACATCAATGTTAAAGAACATCTGATGTTTCTGCAAAAACATTAATATTTTGAAAACACCGAATACTTCATTACTAAATTCGTTTCTAACATTCGCAGCGTTTGGTGCATCCAGTGCAATTTTAGGGTTAGACTCTATGATTCAGCGTTCAATAGCATACAATCGAAATTGGGCGAGTAACGCTGCACGCCGATGATTCTCTATCTTGTGCTTATGTAAGAAGTAACTGTTCATCATTTAGGACATTTATTATCAGAACGTTTCTGAATCATTAGTGAGAGTTCAACGCTAATCGGATATTAAGAAAAAAGACTGAAACAGTCTCCATGCGTAATCGCTTTGTGAAAACCACCGTTTTCTTATCCAGGCCTTTACGTTCTCTTAGCCCATAATACCGTTGAAATCTTATTTTAGTTTTTCTGTCAAAGTATAGAACAGTGTGCAATTGGAGCTACACCATCAGGTACGGCGCATAATGTGGGTATGGTGAGTAGCTATACCCACACGAAAAATTGAGAGAAATATTCCATAAACGTCAAATTCCAGAAATGAACGACGTTTCTCGGAATTGAGTCGACTCAAAATGCGTATGTATGCGGAATTGCGTCGACTCGTAATGCTGTATATGCGATCACCCTTGTCGCAAAATCGGCTCAATAGTATTGCTATTTTACATGTTTATGGCGACATATGTGAAAAAATCGATATGCAAAAATTGTTAAATGAGTTTACACTAAAAAATGCAAAGCGCAGCGCTGTTTTTGCATTGCAAAAATAAACTGGTGAAGTTCCATAACATAAATGTGATAACAATTTTATTTCAATTTATCGATAGACATGACAATTTGACAAAAAAATTGTTTTGTAATTTTTCTTTCACTACATTTTTCGGGGGATGATGGAGAGGGTAGGGGACTTCCCCCGCCTCGGGTCAACTAGCCACTCGGACTTAACACCAATCGCCGGCCCTGAACCTAGAACTAGTTAATAAAATAAATGGAGGTGCCCATCTATGACGCAGCCAATGTTAAGCATTGTTAAGATCAAAGAGAGGATAACTTTCTCCCCAAAACGTGCGGCGCTCATTCACCAGCATTCCACACACTCGTAGCAGTTTCCGTTTCGGGCGTAACCGGCACCTAACGGACCTCCGGCGCCGAGCGCTTCCGCCCGCGGAGGCCACGCCCTCCCTCGGCGCCCGCGAAGGCCGTGCGGGGCCGCGGGAGGGGGGCGCAAGGGAGGGGGGAATGGTTGACAGTCAGGACTGCCCAGCGGTTCTGCTCCAAAAGGCAATGATATTTTCGTCCCGGGCGAGCAGCGCAACAGTGACAGTGATAGTGATAGTGATTGTGACGTACAGAACAGCCCTGGGAAGTTGTTATAGTGAAGCAGACTGGGTGAAATTGAAGATTGCGAGGTGGCTGCTCATTTCCTGAAACAAATTTCCCTAATTTTTCCAGGTTTTTCAGAGCATTTAAATTTGATTCACTGTTAAGATTTGTAGAGAGTTTCTCATTATTTAAAGAAAATATTAAAGCATACCTGAAACGTATTAGTCCGCTTTGATTTCGCCAAGTACAAATTTAAAAAATTCAACAAATAGAAACTGAACAAAAAATAATGATGTACTCTTGTTTTATTATAAATAATATTTAGTTTTATAAACATCTCAAAATGCTCTCTAGCTTCAAACGGTTCTTCCATACATTTATTGATTTTCCCCCGAATTTTCACGGATTTCCAGGTTTTCCAGAAATTGGTCTCCTTAAATCAGTTGTCTTGAACCTCGACACGTTTTACCGTTTCAAGAGACAGCGTCATCGGCAGTGCCCATGTGGCATTTCGGACGTTTGCAACAATCGCCGGTGGGAATCAAGGCATTTATTGGTTATCAGCAGATAAAATTTTTTTATTGTAAACTATCAGTAATTTGATGTGTAATTTGAAGACACAGAATGACGAGGGATAAGCGCAGCTTACATTTTCTCCTTTTCTTTCGCTAGCTGTAATGGTGTTCAGTTGTTCTAACTGTAAGAGACTCCTTGTACCTGTTATTTGAAATCAGGATACGCGCATCACAGTTTTAGATCCCCTGAAGTTTTCTATGGTGCGATGACCAGGTGATATAGCCTTTATTTACTGCTATCGATCATAGTGCGATCTTCCAAAGCAACTCATACAATGCGCAATTCTATTTCTATCACGTATGGGTAGTTTTGGAAAATTATCTCTTTGAGCTTAAAATACCTCAGCCAGAGGTTTAGCAAGGCTGATGCAATTGGAGCTCCGAATAATTTTGATATTTTCCCCTGTTGTTCAAACTAAGTTAATGGAGAATGTCATGTTACTCAACTATAACTTCCCTCGGATTAATTTATTTTTTCCTCATTTATTCTCTTGAACATTACTTAATGTGTTGCAATGAAAGGATTATACAAGTAGGGCTAATATATTCGCAGAATTGGTGGCAATAGTGCTTTTAACCGTTCCTCTTTTTTGCTTCATAGGAAAGGGCGCGGTCAAATCTTTCGTAACATTCAGTTTTCTTTTATCTCTTATCGCTTCCATTTTTTTCCCTTTTGGCTTGGACTTTGCATCTCTTGCTATTATATATGTTTTATCGTGCAATAATTTAGCCAGTTGACATGCCTTGGTAGTTAGTATTCTGTGTTTTATTGACTATGACTGCTGAATTTGTATGTAGCGTACATATCAGAGTGGTTTTAAGAAAGACGAGAAGACAAAGTTGAACAAGCTTATACATGTTTTGGGTCTCTTTCGGCATGGGTAACTCATCAGCTTCATAATCTAAAACTTCTGTTATAACTTCTAGCAGTTTGGCGATAAGTAACATCATTTAAAATGGTAAGAATTAACAAGCTTATTTATATTAAAATACTGGTTAGATGGAGCCCCCACTTATAAATAGAAGTTTGATAAACTTTAAAGTGTGTACCTTTTATAAATTTGATTGCAATTGAATGAAATATTAAGAATGTGTGAAGTATCGATTAAATCGTCATCTTAACCATGATCATTATCGCCGTCTAGATGTAGCGGATTGCTTTTTCAATGTTTCACAATAATTACAATGTTTAATTTCTAATTTACTTGCCTGGTGAAGGCACTCTACCCTACATTACACAAGTATAAAAGCGCCAAAATCTAAAGTTAAATTAAAAATATGGTTTACCCCTTAAAATAAAATGTATCAAATAGAATATTCGTATTCCCGTCTGAATAATGTGATCTTTAAATTAGATTATTTTGTCATAAAGGAAATTGGCAAAAAGAAATCAAATAATCCATTTGAAGTTCAGAAATACTTCTCATAAAATATTTCATGTGATTTTAGTATTCATTAGTATTATTTTATACTAATTATTATATATTATTATCTATACTCATTATTATAATACATTATTTGATTCAGTTATTGTTCAAATTTGTAAAAACCAAATATTATGCATGCAAAATTGATTGTTTACGGTTAAATCTACTTTACAATATACCTACATATAAATATACCCACATAATTTAGATTTAAAACTTTTGTTTCAAGTTTGACTACAAGCTCCTTAATGCCGTTTCAAATTCTATTTACACGTGAACATATATCTAAGTACAAGATGAGACACTTACATCGCCCTTCTTCTTGTAGTTGTCCGATTTGTACATGCTCTTGGCGAGGCCGAAGTCGCAGATCTTGACGATGTTCCCGTCAGCCAAAAGGATGTTTCGCGCAGCCAGATCCCCGTGCAACACCTGCACAGGAAAAGCGTTAGCAAGACAAACCACGAACACTCCTGGATACGCCCTCACGCACACGCGAACTGAAGGTCAGCCTTACAAGCGTTTGCAATCTCGTAAAAGTACTCCAGCCTGAAAACAATTTTGAAGTAGATGCCATGAAGTAGAGCCATGGTGTACACCCATTTCACCACAAGAGTTCGATAACGGTCAGTTCGGTCACGAGAAAGTACTAATCAATGTTCAGAATGCAACAACTCATGTTAACGAAAGCGGGAAGGTTATAAATAAACAATTTATTACCAACGAATTATAAAACAATTTTCTAAAAGACATGTAAATGTAAACTATTGGGGTTTTGATAATGATCAATTCATTGCACCACTTCTTATTTTCGCGTATTGTCAGTTCGTCATATTTTCTTATACGTAATATACGAGAAAGTTATGCGATGTTGAGGAATATAGATTTCGATATTTTATGGTACATTCACACTTTTTGGGATTCCCTGACACCAAAAAAATGTTTTTTGAACGCCCGACTATCCATCCGTCTGTCCGTGAAAATAATTCTTTTAAAAATATTATAATATACAGGCCTAGAAAATTTTCAAAATTTTCTCAAAATTTGTTATAAAATTTTTATTTAAATTCTTAGAAGAATGCACCGAAATGCGAAGGAAATGTATTTTACTTTGCAAATATTTAGAAAAATATACATTCTTCCTCGGGGCTAACTGAATTTGTGATATCTCACACATGACCAGTGTACTCATTACCTTTAACCATTCTCACAATTTACATGTTAGCTTCAAATGACAGTTGAACGTTAGCACTAGTGGTTTTGAAGAATATTATATACTACATTATTATTATTATTATTATTATTATTATTATTATTGTTGTTGTTTTTGTTGTAGTTGTCGTTGTTTCCATCCATTTGCATTTGGTTGCCAGGATTATGAGAAGTATTCTGTTTCGAAAAGTGAATGCCAAACAAATCCAGCGACTCCGTTCGTCCACGCGGCGCAGATGTTTTACTGAAACAGGCCACAGCCAGCGGCCAAAATACCTACCAGCAGTCATTGTTGTTTCGTTCTTGTAAGTGAAAATATTAAATACATTAATAAATTGAACTCAGTTGCAACTAATAACATTGCAATATTTGAATTAAAAAAATTAAGATACCTATTTTTTGCGCTTCGTTTGTATATACGTTTTTCAAGTGAAAGCTGAAGCGCGAGTTTAACAGAAACAGTGATTATTATCAATATTATGATAAAGTATCTGTTGTTGTAGCACCACCAATTTCATGACCATTCGCACCACATGTTTAATAATAGGTGATGAAATATCAAAGTCCCAAAAGAACTAAGTCCCTCGAGCAGAATACAAATGCTTAAGGTGGTTAGAGCGAGATAAGGGTTATGTTTAACGTGCCTTTTTTATTGTATTAATCGAAAGATGAGAAGTTCTTCTATGTTCTGGTAAAGTTTGAATTGATTTTACCGTCCATTTTTTACGTAAAGAGACCGCAAAGTTTGCTGTTTTAACATGGGATCTTATGGTGACCTGACCGATCTGACCTGAAATTTTAAAACTGTGAGAAAATTAACTGTTGAACATGCTTTAAAAACTTTTCTTTTGATGGCCAGCATCTCGAAAAATCAACATGCGTTATTTGGAGGAAATCTACCGTTTCAAATGGGAGAATTTGCAAAATTATAAGCCTAAATCAGTCCAAAGGGAGACGTTCGCGCCCTTTCTAGAGGTTCGGGACTGTGACGCGCATCTCGGCAACACCGCGCGCGCAACGCGCTTCAATCAAAACGACTGACAAGGCAGAGTTAGTACATTCTTCTACATCTTCTGGTAGCAATTAAAATACCCTCACTCCTGGAGAACATTGCGTTTGATGGTAACCAGATATTCAGAAAAGCTGTAATTTGATGGATATAATGGTTAGAGCGAACTGAATGAAAATATTAATTCAATTAATATTCCCAATGACTCACTTTGATACTACTCCCTGAGGAAATTGGTGATATTGAGACTTAACAGAATTTTTTAAACATTCAGTACAGTATTATTATTTTGTATTGTGGCGTACGTCAGTTTCTTGCTCCTGAACAATGATTATTTATTCAATTATTCGAAAATTATTCATATTCTCTTTTTTATTATGGAAATATACGGTGGATTGTCATTGTCCTTTGCATCGAAGATGCTTACACAGAACTCAAAGCAACAAAATTTAGCATAGATCAGCACCTCAATCGGTGTTGTTACTGATTGGGCATTCAATTCAAAAAGAAATAGACTTTGTAGTGGCTTCAAATGTGTTGCAATGATCAAATACTGTTTTGCTGGTGTTAATATCAACCATTCAAGGTATAGAGTAATGCAGAGCTGGATTTCCTCCTAGCAAAATTAGGCTTGGGGCAAACATCCTCGTGATCGGTTTTTTAAAATAAATATTAAAAACTTCATAAAATGTTTTTTATTTGAATAAGCATTAATCAAATAGTTTACTGCAAAGCAATGTTTGATTTTAAAAATAAATTGAATGGAACAATAAGAAACCAAACATGCATTTGTAAGTGATAAATTTAAAAAGCAATTTCTACTTTGAAAGCAATTTGTTAATTTAAACCTGTATTGGAACAATGATTTATTCTGTCATAATTATTATTTTTTAGATTTATTCACAATTAGGTTTAAATATTTTTCTGAAGGAGTGCTCAAGATAGTTTTGTGCTTGAAGGCCTGTAGTATTTACATCCGCATCGGCAAATTTAATAATTACATTTGTAATTAATAATTCCATTTTATTGAAATTGTAAGAGGAATGATAAATTCAGCCTTTGGTAGTTTTAGTATTTTAATAGAACCCCGTTTTCATTGTAAATGCAACATCAAAACAAACGATTACAAAAGACTATGCCAATTAGAAATCTCTTTTGAAGATTTTATCTTCAACAACGGGTATTATTTTATTATTGAAGGTCTCAATATTACAGCTCTCAGAATTATTTGATGCAAGATTTTCATTTTATCAGCTTTAACTTGATATGCACTTTACACAATCATTTGCATCTAAATCAATAACATTTATAAGATATGACATAACATGATATAAAAGTATACTGAAAACCATAGTTTCAGTAAATTATACAACCGCACCGCAGGAAATAATACGACACATTGTAATTGCAAAAAGAGTTCTGTAATTTCAATAAAAAGTATTAAAACATTAAACATTGGTCATGCAGTTTAATTAACTAAACAAAAATAAAATAGGGGAATAACAGAAAAGAACAAAAAAATATATTGTGATAAGAAGGATAATAAGAAGCAGCAGTAGTCCATGAATACGATTCCTGTCAAGTTAAATATAAATCTTTATACAATGATGGAGAGAACCGAACTTTTATCTAAGGTTTGTCCTACTATTGGTTCTGGTATTTCAAGAAATAAAAATTAGAGAGAAACTAACATTGAAATAATATTTGAAAACTTTTTAATACCTCACTGTTCTCGTGATCTTGGGGGAATTATTTCGTTATCTCTCAAATTCCGCTTTGGAAATAAACCTTCCGCCAATTCGCTCAGATTGTGATATTTACCGAGTGTCGACCAGCAGGCAACGAAGACTATTCAGTGATTCAAAACAAAGAAACTTTGAAGAAGCATGAGCCCTGAGCAGTCATACCAATCTCAAGGAGATTACAGCGTTGCCCAATTTATTAAAGACTTATTCGCCTCACTCAAACATTGAAATTTTTGCCATTATTTGCAATTACCGCACAAATATATATATATGTGTGTATGTGTGTGTGTGTGTGTGTGTGTGTGTCTCTATGATTTTACGTTTTATGATTTTGCTCTTACTAATTGTGCTCTTTTATGTTCAATCTATGCTTCAATTTTTTATTCTGTAGCCACGCGATCTGTTGGTACTAGTTAAGAAACTAGTCTACGGTAGCTCTTTAAGTGGTATTAAAATATTTTTATTTTACATCCATTAAACTAAATTAATTCAAATAATTAAATAACACTCAGCAGAAACGTCCCTATTTGGTTTATGTGGATCCCACAATACCCACTTATCTCGCAAATAATTATTTTTGAACGTAATATAGACTCTCTATCTACTAGGGAATATCTCGCTCTAACCACCTTAAATGAATGGACAAGTGCATGGCAACACCGCATCTTGATTCATAACTCTCTTATCAAGTGAAGAAATAATGCTCCGGTTGCACCAGTATTAGTCATGGAGAGGGTGTTTTCATTTGTGTTGTAGCGCTCTCTGAAGTAGGCGAGACACCAATGACTTGTTCTAAAAATGATTTTTTTGTTTAAATTACACCCCTATTGATGACGAAGGAAAAGTAAAACAGATGTTTTACTTTTCGAAGTGTTTTACTATAGAAAGTGATGTGTTGATCAAGAGTCGAGGAATTATTGTGCAATATTTTCAAAACCAATAGATTTGCCGAGCATTCGCAGGAGCCAAGTAGAAGAACGACGAAAATAATTTGTAGATTTGTATTAATTGCGTTATGAGGATATGAAATGTAAACGCTTCCAGAAAATTTCTGTTTATTTTAAAAACAGGTACGCCAACACACGAGTACCCGGCAACTATCAGAGTGAGTACGATTTTTTTAAAGATGTTTTAATCATAAATAAAAACAAATATGTTTCGCCTGATGACAGATTAATAACAGAAATAGTATTATCACTTTAAATTGTAAATGTACATGTAGTGATTCATATTTTGTTAAACCATTATTACTAAATCGCTTTCCTATAATCTTAGAAAATTATATTTTACAGCATAATTTTTTCTACTCAGGTGTACATGTGTAGATTAATTAGCAAACACAGATACCATTAGAGAATATCAAAATATTTTCACGATAACATATGTGACCGTAATATCGTAGCATAAAAATATTCACACTCCCTTTTAATAAATTTTGGTCGATTTTTATACAAAGGAAGTATTATTTTGCCATCTAAATCTTGCACAATGGAAATTTATTTCTCAAGTTAACAGAGAATAAAAATTGTGACGTTTGTGAGATCTTACTAGCAAAGAGTAAAGTAGTTTTATTATAGAGATTATAAAATATGTAATAATTTTAAATATATTTATTTTATAAGCACATTGAAAAAAGCAGGCAGGTCACTCATACTGTAAATACAATGCGCTACACCTCTTATTTCAATGTAATAATGACAGGATATTCATTGACATAAAATAAAAAATGATTAGAGAACAAAGGAATGACCATTGAGATCTCGTTTCAAGCACTAAGTATATAAGGAAGGAACTTCCAGAGCAGAAGTTCAACGTTATTAAAATACAAAAATAAAATCGTAAGAAAGAAACTAGGGTAGCATTACTAGAAAATCTCCAAAATAAATAGTATGGAGAAGAAATAACTAATTTGTCAGCTCTCACCGCTTCGCGAATTTTTATATTAATAAGTACTAAATTATATTGCATGTTCTTATTTTATAAACAGTAATGAACGAGATGTCAATGACCTGTGACCCATAAAATAATTGGGGTAATTGTATTTAAATGAAAACAAGATCTGGCTGCTACACGGAAAAAGTATTTGGTGCAAGATTGTTTTACTTACGCGTTGAGTAATTCTTGAAACTACAATCTGTTTTCTGACAAACTAGTCCTCCTCCATCCCAAAGATTTTTTGTGTTGTTTGTAGTTCTCAATGTGGCAGAGCGTAGTTTCACTATATAATGTGTGACTATTTTTCCCCTTAATAATATTTTTGCCTTCGAACATTTTTTCATTGTTTCGTAACACTTAGCTGTTGGTAATTAACATATTTTAATGTAGCAACGGACGAGAACCGCTTTACAATGAGGTTGCGTGTTCGATTTCTGGTGAAACTTGTACGTTTACAGATACATTCACTCAGTGACGGGGATGTTATGGAAAGAAAGACACACCACAACGAATCTTGCAGTCAATGTCGTTGTAACTGCAAACCGGAGAGGGACGGAGAGGTCGTCTTTATCTGATACACTTGTTGCACATTTTACTAGTCACATTAATAAAAAAGAATAGTTATTTCAGAAAATGGAATAATTTCACACTATCGTATCGTCCTCCTCTTCTTTTGTCTTACTCCCGTTCCGGCTTCAACCATATTTGTCTCGTATACCCTAGGTATCTCATGCCTCCACATTTATAATTTTATGCCAGCTTTGAAAATATAGCATTTGTCATTCTTTCAGCATGTTAATACCAGTTTTCTCTCTTATCTTCAATCCAGGATGTTAAGAAGAAGATATATACTTATTTTCTTAAGTCGTCGCTCTGTATCTTGTTATGTCTGGATCAGCTTCTTATCGACGTACAAAACGTTCTTATTAATGAGCAAAACTTTTGCCCGCCCGCCTAGCCCACAAATCATTTGACCGATATTCTTCAACATTGATATTGCTCTATCGATCTGAACGAATACAAGGCTCTCAATTGTTGAAACGAATATGTTGAATTTGGCGTCTACGTTACATAAAGCTTCGAAACATGTTCAATATTTTCTCAAAAATGGATCCCAATGTTTTAAAACTTTGAGCTTTGTCCTTGAATAGTGTAAACAACGCTTATAAGAATGGTATCGCTCTGATTTTCGTCAAATGCAAATGCGCATGTTTTCATTAATATTTTGGGTCTTGATAGTGCATGAAAATTCTGTCTTTATCATCCGTTAAATAAATTTATTCGTTTTATGTTCGCACTCAAAGAGATTTTGTGTACCAATGAAACACTACTGCACGATAATGGTAGGGGTAAATCACACATGTGTAAAATAGTTGTATAAAAGTTTCTACCACATGTTCATTGGTAACCCGTGACCATCTTGGACTTTCAACAAGCCCTAGAAGTTTGTCAAAATAATTACTCTAAAGCCCGTTTTACACGGTAACATTTTTATTATTTTTCATCAAAACAAACGTAACGGGCCGGATGAAATTTGTACGAAAAATTACGCATGGTTCATTTAATTGTACAGATTTCATCATGTTTCACTACAGCGCTCCTGGCGTAATTTTGGCACTCTCTGGTTTGCTAATCGTGTGGTCGATTTGGTCCTTTTGTACAGTTCCGAGAAGGATTTATTGTGTTGAATTTCAATGTGAAATTACTATTTAGTGAGAAATTAAACAGTGTTCAAATCGTTCTGTGCTCAGTCCTAATAACACGTAAATTAATTTATTACCATATATGCTAAGTTTGAATGATCTTCAGCGCTTTTTGTGGCGTCCAGAGGAAATATTTTCATCATAATTGTGTGCAGAAAACAAAATGACCTAGTAAAACCCTCGTTCTCGTTGATCTAGCTTCGATATTGAAACAGTAGCGTCCAGAAATGATCGTCCATTTACCATCAATTTTCTGAACAGAAAAATGATGATAAAACAATGACATAAAACAGGCTTAAGAGACCTGTGCAAAAGTTTAAGTCCCAAGTAAAATCTTTTCTGCTGCACAACTATTTCTATACAATTAGAGACTAAGCTGAGCATCCACACCGAAAGTCATATTAATTTTAACAATGACATTTGATGTAATATATAACATTTTGATTGTATAATTGTAAAGAACCTGTAGCAAGTATTGTACTTCAGCTTCTGGGTCAATGACCCCCATCTCGATCAGGTTTTCGTCCAGTTTCTCTGATCCCCGAGCAATGCCCCTTGTTTTGCTTCTGGACATAATGTAACATCAAATTAACTTCTCCCCATAGCACGTCACACACAGTTTTTAACTGTTTTTGACGTAAATAAATAAAAAAAGCATTCCTTTTCAATACGACCTCACCTATTCTGCCCTTTCATTTCGCAGTGCTTTGAAGAAAGCAGTGGCGGGGGACGTACCTTGCGGCGCGCCAGGTACTGCATGCCGCGCGCCACCTGGTAGGCCCAGCAGAGCAGGTCGCGCGTGCAGATGAGGCGCACGCCGCGGTAGTCGCCTCGGTAGTTGGAGCGCCAGTGCGGCTGCGCCGACCCGTTGCTCGTCAGCCCCGCCTCGTCCCCTGCGGCACGCGAACGACAGCGTCAACGCACGCCTCAGACCGTCCACACGGTCAAGTACAGCTACTTTGAGAGAGGAGGCAGGAAAAAGGAGGATAGAGAAGAGAGAAAGAGAAAGAATGAGTATATCATTGGGCGTTTTACGTCAACTTACAAAACAGATGACGCTCCCTCCCCTGAGTTAATGTCCCTGTCTTTTTTCACACCCTAGTCCATTGTTTGTATCCACTTCCTAACTCCGCAGTGACTCGTAAGTCCAATGCGGCCGCGCACTTACTCCTGACGCTTATGGCGGCGCTGGAATCCCTTTACATTTAGGGAGGAATGGTGGCGGCCACGTTGCGGCCTTGACGCCCATTAGGGAGTTCCCCCTGGTACTCAGGCAGTCCCATTCACAACAGCAGGGAGAGGTGAATGAATGAAATACTGAAGGTGATACATGGTGGTTTGGGCCAGGCCTCATCATGTAACACAAAAGCAAATATTCATGGCCAGGCGGGTCCACAGACCCCCAGCGCGCGGCTACAGCGGTAAGCACTACACTGCGGGGCCCCGGCTATATTTTACAAAATTATATATCTGAGGGGCGGAGGTTAAGGACGCTATGTCACAAATACTAAATTTTACAGGAGAACAGTTTGAATATGTTTTACCTTGGACATGGAAGTAGCCGAGGTTTTTCTCAAAACGGAGGTATATCAGCCAGTTCTGTGCATGTAGTCACTATATATATATTATATGATTATATATATATATATATATATATATATTATATATATTATATATATAGAGAGAGAGAGAGAGAGAGAGAGAGAGAGAACAAAACTTCGAAAATAAGCTCTTAAGGCAATTTTAAGCATATTATGGCTATGAAACTCCTTTGATAATCTGAATGGCTGAGCCGTAATGAGACCCTCAAAATTGTTTTAAAAACTTATTTTCGAAGTTTCGTTGCATCCTCCCTGGACACACTATATAAATGTATGTATGTGTGATTGTAAATGAATGTATGTGTATGATATAAAAGAGAAAGAGAGCGAGGGAGCGAGAGACAGAGCAAGAGTACAGCAGAGTTGCAGATGCGAGCGCCCAGTGCGCCGCGTCACGCACCGGCCGGCGACATGGAGATGGTCTCGTGGCCGGCGCTGTCGATGCACACGGAGGTGCCTCCGCCGGCGGCAGCGGCGGCTGGGGGCGGCGGCCGCGCGTAGTCGCGGGGCCACGGGCACGGGGCGCCCGCCTCGGACCCGGCGTCGCTGCCCCCGGTCGTGTCCGAGCTCCCGGAGAACGACAGCGACGCGTACTTCACCCTGCACACGCACACTCCACTCGCACACGGACAACCGAGGGCTTCACCCCTCCAGCACACAAAACAAAGCAAGGCAGTTAATTACGGGGTAACTACTTCCTGTGGTGTGTTCCCGGGATTAATTCCCACACAACGCAAAAATAGACTGGTGGCTTCCTTTAAAATCGTCTCCGTTTCTGTAGCTGTGTGATGAAAAAACGTTCAGGCAGGTAGAGTTTTTCTAGTTGCGCTAATGGGAATGCGTAATGTTCGACAATTGTCTCTCTAACCCCCAGAGAGGGAATTGACTAGGCCAAGGCATGAGGGATACCGTTTGCTAGCCGGACAATCAACCCAAAATGCCAAATACATACAAAAATTGCGTGTTTGCAACAATTGCAAGTATTACAATAAATATTTGATCGTAGAGCGACATTTTGAAACTAAATGGTAACGTGCGCTAACTTTTCGTTTGTCTATTAACTCCAAAGAAGTAGAATTGATTGAAAAAAGAATCAGCCACGGTATACAATGTCTTAACTTGCGTTAAAATCTTTGGATAGTTTCACTGCGTAAGTAAAGTAAATACTAGTAAATGAAAGAAGCAGAAAAGGGCAAATAGAATTTTATGAAATAGAAAACTACCCTCCAACCTTAGTCAACATTTCGGTTATGATATGAAAAAAAATCAGATATTTCTAGAAAACCTTGCGTTCGAATCCAAATGACAGATTTCGCTAAGATTGTACTTCTCAATGATTTAACCTGGTGGACCAGGAGGTCAGCTTGTAAGACTAATCATTTTACCCCATACACTCTGATCCAGTGATCACTAAATTTAGAATATTGTTGACAGGAAATCTGAGAATATTAAGGCAAGTAAACAGTTTGCATCTTTATAAACAGACATCTTATTGCATTTAAGAGAGTGACCATGTTAAAATGCACATGAATGAGTTCCCTAAATATAAATACTTTTTACAATATTCAACACTTTAAGAAGCATAAAATATAAATCAGAAGTTTAAAAAAATAAGGAAAGGGATTTAGTGATTTCGTCTTGAAATTACAAAAGTTGGTGACCGATGTTTTTTAACGAAAAAATGAATTAGTAATTTTCCACATAAAATGTTTGTACATTAATTCCTTATTATGTTTGGTATAACATAAATTGTTTAAATGCATTTTGAAGTTTATTTATGTCCCTTTTCACTCACTTTGTGAATTATCCGAAAGAATCAATTATGCGCAATTGCCGCGCACTGTAATTCTGCGGCTAATCGAGAGTTTACTTCACTCGTATTTGATAAAAAAAATATATTTCCGTGAACCCCTTCTTCGAAACTGGGCGTATCAAATGATTAGCACGACAGCTTGATAGTCACTTCACTCATTTATTAATTATTTCAGCACCTGCTAGCTTCGAGGAAAAAAGTTGGCGCTCGATAAAACAAACTTCCTGGAAGCAAATTACGAGCTGCGCCGTCAACAGGAGCTTGATGGAGAGGCCCTGCGCACGCACGCACACGCAGGACGATCGGGCACACACTCTACGTGGCGCACGCCCAACGAGGGTGCGACACCGCCAACGAGAAATCGGTGTTTGAATGCTTCGATGTTAACAACACATCAGTCCAAACCATCGATGTTTTTAAAACTGTATTAGTAGCCATTAATATTCAAAAGGGAGAATATTTTGACCCAGGTCGCACTTTTTAATTTTTAATTTGATTTTAGACAAAACAAACTCAACAAATGTTCAGAGCCATTAACAAATTTTTCTTAATTGCCCTTATCATGCAAAGTGATTTCGATCAGTGCGGTTACTCTCCGATTTAAACGTACTGTTTCCTCAATCTGTAACGTACAGTTCTACTCAGATTTAAAAGTAGTGTCCCTTTAAGGTCATGAGCTGGAAGAAGAGGTCACTGTCATCCAATCGAGAGATTCAGTAACAAAAATATCAGCCGTAACGAAGCTCTCGATTGGATGTCAGTGACCTCTTCTTCCAGCTCATGACCTTGAAGGGACACTACTTTTAAATCTGAGTAGAACTGTACTTTTCGTAAAGAAAATGGGGGGGCGTGAACATAAAGGGATAATATATATAAATCTGCATGCTATAAATCATTATAACTGCACTCCTCAAAAGCGAAATCGGGGGCTTCCGACTTCGGCTACTGTCCTTGAAGGGACATTACATACATTTAAATTAAGAGTATACCTGCACAACTCGAAAGGGAAACGAGTGGCGCGTGACCTTGACGCGACACTTCACTTAAAACTAAGTATAGCTGTTCTGCCGCAAAGGGAGTCAAGGCGCTTGAATGCCACACATTTAAGTCCCGATTGGATGGAAGTGTCCCCGTCTCGTGACCTTGAAGGATAAATGCATTTAAATCCGAGTGAGCGCACGCACCTGCCGCCGGGCCCGCAGTGCGAGAAGGAGTCGGCCCTGGCGAGGCGGTCGGCGCCGATGGCCGCGTCCACGGCGCCCGTGCGCGGGTCCACCTGGTCCACGAAGCCCTCGCGGTGGCGCAGCAGGTAGTTGTGCAGGTTGCCGAAGCGGCAGTACTCCACGATGACCAGCAGCTCCTGCCGCTGGATGTTGCCCGTGCACGCGCCCAGCAGGTTCACCACGTTGAGGTGGCGGCCCAGGTGCACCATGATCTTCAGCTCCGACGCCAGCGCCTTCAGGTAGGAGAAGTTGGCGGTGCGCTTCACCATCTTCACCGCCACCGTCGTCACCTCCTCGCCCTCCACGATGCCCTGCGCCTCGGCCTTGAGCACCACGCCGAACGCGCCCGCGCCCAGCTGCTTGCCTGCGACACCGTCACGTCACGTCACGCCATGCGCTGCGCAACTCACAAGTTGTGCATGCACAAATGCGTGTAGGCCCCAAGCTATGCGGGACGAGCCGCGTCTCTGTTATGGTGGCTGATGTTTTGGCCAACATATTGTGGTCTTCCTCACAGCTGCACTGCTGCTTCGAGCACAATATGTTTACCGAAACGTCAGACACGCGGTTCGTTCTGGATAGCGTCGATTATACCAATTCCGGCCACGAAAGCCTATGCAATCATATAATGCATGTATGTATTTATGTTCAGAGACCTGTACTCAAGCAAAGGGTACATTGAGCATTTCTTATCTGTTCAAACAAACAAGTCTGGTAACTCTGTAATTAAGAATTTCCGAACTCGTATTGAAATTATCTTTCTGTCTTCTCTCTGTAAAAGAACTTTTCCGAAGTGTTTCCATTGAGTTTTTTAACATACAGTATCCTGAACACTCAGAATAAATTAACATTTTTCTAGGGCATATAGAGGGATCCTACAGGATCACGTTTTGTCATGAACATGTGGTGTGTCAGTAAATCTCTTATTACGAAGTTGTTCATGTGACGTTTACCTCTAATTGATAGGTAACTCTTCTTACACTAGTGTTAAGCAACCTGCACGATAAAGTGATACCATTAGGGAAAAAGTCACATGTGCAACTTCGTTTTATAAGATTTCCACACGCTCATGGACAAAATATATCACTTGAGATCTCCAACATTCTCTAGACAACGAACATTTATTATATGACGTCCTGTATACATACACATATTTTGGATCAGAATACGATTACCCTCACGTCCTTTATTGGGCACACTCACCCACACTGCGGGTTCCAGGCCTGTCCCCTTCCCTTCAGTTAATCGGTTTAAATATATGTCCGATCGAGAGCCTCCCCCTACCCGGTCGCCTGAAGCAACCCCTCAGACCAATCTCTCTCATTCTAGCACATGAGGATGCTGCCGAGGTACACCGCGCTCTCTAGCCGTACGCAACCTCATTGGGGGTTTGAGTATATATCTGATTAGGAAGGATAATGAGTAATAGAAGTTACGATCGGCTTCAAAAAGTCACATTTGCCAAACTTTTGGGAAGTCAATATTTTGCGCTATAAAATAAGTCGAATGGGCATTTAAAAAAGAACGACCTTCCAGTTTATGGGCTACAGCCCGCTAATGCATGATTGCAAATATTCAACACACACTTAGGTACTTCAGACAGAAAAATAAAGAAATGCACTAAATGATTTTTTGCAATAAGCCGATGATACATGGTGATTGAATTGGTTCCACCATAGAACATTTCATAGGATCACAGAATAATACCACCTAAGCAGTGTTTTCTCGAGGTCTCTAACGAGCCGTCAGGGAAAATATACAAATTATCACGTGACTAAACCACACAAAAATATAAATTAGCCATATACACCAACTATGTAGTTGTCACTTACAGCCGTCGCCCCCCAAAAAAGAAGTGAAATAAGTTAAGAAACATTTCGTACAGATTAATGTCCTTGCTGTCGCGTGTAACACCAGTAAACAGTAGAGAGAACCTAGTCATTTCCTTTAATTTACTACGTATAAACATATATTGTAAAGTTCACTTAAATTTTCTAATCTCAAAGTGTGTTCTGGCTCCATAAACATATTGTAGGCCACCTCGCGAATGGTCATATCTCACTTTTAATGTCACTCATAAAATCCTAAAAGAGCTGGTTACTGTAAACAAAATTTACTGCAGTTTAACTCAATCTCCTAAAAACAAGTATATGGCGATAGCATCACATGACAAAGAAGTAAAAATTTGTTTCCATTATCAAACTCCTTCAGAATTTTGTGAGTGGCATTGAAAGTGAGGTATGACCATTCGAGAGACCGAGG